ACAAAATCATCACAAGAAGTACCTTTCTCTAGCACCTTGAGGTTAGTAGGAGGTTTAACAAACATAGTATTGTTACATGAAACGGTGCATGGAGTGGAAGAAGTGTAATCCAATAAACAAGCATTAGAACACAACACATCACTACCATGAGAGGGGAAAATAGAAGAAGGGGTTGAATGGGGGTAATGGACCATGAGTGCATTAGGGGATTCAACAACCTTATGAGAAGCTCTACCATTATTAACATGTAAATCATCATCAATTTCATCTATAAAGTGCACATCATGTAAAGAATAATCTTTATTAGGTTGCTTCATGCTTTTATACATGTTAAAATGCACAAAATGATCACCTACACTCATAGTGATAGAACCTTCCTTTATTTTAATTTCAATATTAACAGTTCAAATGAAAGTTCTACTAAGAATTAATACACCCTCATTCATGCTTTCCCTAGACATTCTAAAACATAGAAATCTACAAGAATGAGCAAGTCCTTAATCTTTACTAGCACATCCTCAAGCACCCCATGTGGATATCTAACAGTATGATCTGCTAATTGCAACATAACACTAATGGGCTTAAGAGTAGTGATACCTAGGGACTCATAGACCGACTTGGGCATTATATTAATAGCTACTCCTAGGTCATGTAAGGCCTTTGGAGTAGAAGTCCTTCCTTTAGTGCAACGTATGGTGAAGCTCCTCGAGTCTTGACACTTAACCAGAAATTAGGGCTTAAAAAGTACACTAATACTGGAAGGTAGTTGGACCATCTCATTAGGCTTGAACTTCTTTTTATATTTACACAGATCTCTTAAAATCTTAGCATATTTAGGTTGAGAGGCCAACTCAAGTAAAGGTACATTAACTTCTATTTTGCTAAACAACTCAAACAACTCATCATCTTTCTTATTGGAGCTAGCTTTTCTGATGCCTTAAAGATAATAATGTGGAAGGGGAAGTTTCCTAAGATTTACCTCATTACCTTTATTGCAAGCAACTTCTTGAGTCTGAGGTTGACTCCCTTTAGCAGCTCTAACATCCTCTTCGTCATTCATAAGTGCAGTGGCTTTCTTCTTTAAGATGCTCTTCTCTTTCATACTTTCAGATGAGGGTATAGCTATAGAGGTTGGCCCTTGGAATTGCAAATCTTCATTCAACACTACCTCTCCATCTTCATTTTCATCATCTTTCTTCCCAACTAGCTTGCCACTTCTCAAACTTATGGCATTTAGACCTTTGTGAGTGGGATTAATCACAGTGCTGGATGGTAGTTCTCCTCTCCTAGCATCTTGCTCACTTTTAGCATTTACTATTTGAGTAACATAAGCCTGAAGATTGCTGTTTTTTACCTCCATTGCTCCACTTTGTCACATGGCTTGCTCATCATCTTTAATAAAGTGTCTTCTCTATTTGATTCTTGAATTGGGATCTCTCTTGCTATAGATGGTCCTGCATAATTTCCCATAGAGGCATTCCCAAACTGTCCTTGATAATATCCAGCACCTCTATACATGTTTTCCTTGCCTTGAGCACCTTGAAATCCTCTATTATCATTGCCACTTCACTTAGATGTGAAGTCTCCTCTCTAACTGTAACATCCAAAGTTTTAGGCCTAGAAGTACCAGTAATAGCCTGAATTAGATAGGCTATCAGACCCCTTTTTAGCAGAAGTCCCAAAGATGAGAAAGGAAGTCAAAGTAGTTTTAGGGACTAAACTGCAAAGTAAAAGTTTTAAGGGGCTAAAGTGTAATAAAGTTAGAGGCTCCAGTAAAGTCTCGAAGGCCCAGAGAGAGAAAAGAGACTAGATATAGGCCAAAGGTTGAGTTAGAAGCCTCAAAGAGAGGATTATATGAAGTTAAGTCCAACCAGGGACTAAACTGTAAATTCTGAAAGTTATGACCAACAGGGGTAAAAGTGGAAGAGGGTACAGAAAATTCTAAGAAAATCCTAGAAAATGGAAAATAATATTCTAAGGCTCTTCTATGAAGAGAAAAGATGAAAATACCCCTGAGGCAGCTTCAACGGAATTTATGAGGTTATTACCGGTAAAAAGTATACCATGTGAGGTAATTATTTAAAATAGCAAGAGACCTCAAAAATGTATACAAAAATGAGGTTAAATGGTTGAAAGGTTGTACTAATTTATAAAATTAGTCCCGTAACCAAAAGGCCAGTGGAGTGGCTTTAATAAATTAAAGAGTCGGTTTTGCCGATAAAAGGGTATTTTGGTAAATGAATTTTTATGCAAGGTTTAAAGGAAGTGTTATAGCCTAAGAAAATTCATAGATATTCTCTAGAATTAAAGGAAATTTATAAAGTAGACAGAACAATTTTCTGAGCTCCGAAAGGCCATAAAGAAAGCCGGAGAAACGTGGGCCAAGTAAATTCGGAGGAAGCTTATGAAACAAGTTTGATCCAACGGTTAGGATCTAATCTCCCATCTCCTCCACCACTTTCATGACACTTGGCATCTTCTAGAAGGTTGAGGTAAGCATGATGTAATAAGATGATGCAATGATGATGCAAAAGTCCACTTGAACTTCCAAATTTGCCCTTACCCTTTCTATTAGCCACCAAGGGCATTTTGGTCCATTCAAGCCAACTTTTTTGGCTATAAATAGAGCCTCTTTCCCTTCATATTTTCAGCCAACATGCGTTTAAGAGGGGAAACTCTGCCAAAATTTAGAGAGAAAAACGTAGGGGTGAAGGCCAAGAAGAAGGAACAAATTTCAAGCTTCAAGATCAAAATATGTGGTGGCTGTAGCATCTGATTTGATACCTATTTCAAATTAGTTACTGTATGTATCTGATTCTGAAATTTTTCATGCTCAAAGTACACTCTGTGAGCTTTAAATCTATGGGTAGAACACTTCATTTGGATATATGTACGATTTATGGTGATTTTTCAAAGTTAGAGATTGAAATCTGGAAACAGTGTTGAACTTTTAGAAGAGTGTCGAGTTCCGTACAATTCCGGTGCTGTTCAGCATAGAATTGGTTCCTAAAACTATTTTTCCTTTAAATTTAACTTAATTAGCTTTCAGTGAGACTTGGAATCACTCAATTTGGATTTTTCTAGATTTAATTATGAATTTTGAAATTTGATCAAAAATTCTGGAGATTCTGCGTGAACAGTACCCGCGAACCAAAATTTCCAGATTTGATATTCTTGAATCTAAAGCCATCTAAAGTGGTTCTAATTGACAAGAAATGGATCATAAGGATGGGAAATGATGAGATTTATGTTAGAAAAGCTAGAAAGAAAACCCTAAGACTACGAGAAAGGGTTGAGGTTCAAGAGAGCTAGCTTTGAACTTTATGTAATCTAGTGGTCCTAATAGATTGTATGATCATTATGACTATGTTTAGGACCTTTGGAACATCCAAGAGGATGTTTGATGATGTTGACCAAAAGCTAACATGGTTGGAAAGTCAAGGGAGTCAAAGGAAAAGTAAGAGGAAGGCTTGAGGTGCAAGGTAGTGAACTTACCTATTGTCATTGCTTGATGTTGTATGCTTGTGTGTTGCCGTGTACATGTTATTGAATGTTATTGTGACATGTTTTAGCTGCTGTAATTGCTATTCATGATGAGTAGATTATGTCTCGATGGCCATGCATCAAGAAGTTAGCTTTGAGCATGCTAGTATGTCACTAATTAACAAGAGAATAAACAAGTTGCGTGTAGTGCATGAGCATCTATTTAGCATGATTAATATGGTATTGTTTGCTACTGAGATTCCCCCGAATCTCACCCCCTCCCTAACCAACTATTTAGGTCAATCAATGGTGGGCACTAATGGCATGAGAAGCAAGGAGAAGAAGTGGAGAGTTATTGATGCTAATGATTGATATTATTATTCAATGTATAATTCTCCTATGTTATGACTTATGTTGTGAATGCCATGTATTTAATTATAAAGCTTATGGTGTGTATAGGAATGTATGAGCATGAATGGGAAAAAGTAAGCCCATGTTAGGTGTGCCAAAGAAATAAAAAGAATTAAAGTAAAGAGATGTTAAGGGATAAAACGTAGGTCCTGAAGCAGTTAATTTCAATCTTCAGTTTGACCTATCATATGAATGAGTTAAGCTGCGAAATTTGGTACACTTATAATACATATCCCAAGCTTTAAAATGAGTGGTAAATCATATCATTTGGATGTGTATACAATGATATATGAATTTTCAAAGTTAAGGCGTAGAATCTGGAAAGTCCAGATTTTACCAAATGAATAGTAATTTTAATCGAATAAACTGTACGTTTTCAGTGAGGATGAGTTCAGTTGAATATTTTTTCCTTAAAGAGAATTGAAAGAGCTTTCAGTAGAATTTTGGAACACCTCCATACGATTTTTCTAGAATTAGTTATGATTTTCCAAAGTTGGACCTGTAATCTGAAAACTAGACAGTGAACAGTAATTTTTCGAAAATTAACGTCCAAATTGAAATTTTCAAGTTTAAAACCATCCATAGTGGTTTGGAATGGTTCTAAATGACTGCTAAGGTACTATATAAGTAAGGTGTGACACTAACCATTATTGTAAGTATTTTGGGGGAATTGGTTGGGTCTTTAGAAGTTCATGGTAGCTACATCTCTAGACTCAATCATGGAGGGACAATTAAGAGTAGTGTGCATAGGACTAGCACACACATCATAAGAGGTAGGAATAAGAGCTTGAGTCATGGGGGTGGAATGTAGAGCTTTAACTTAGTGGCTTTGTTGAGTTTGTATGCCTTTTTTCATACAAACCATTTGATCACTTAAATTGGCCAACTTATTCAGAATTTCATCAGTTTGCCAAGCCCCTACTCCCTGTACTTGAGCTATATCTCTAACTCCAAACTGTTGATTATTTGCAACCATATTCTCTAATAAATCCCATATGCCTTGAGAAGTCAAGTCAATTAAAGAACTACTAGCAACAACATCAATGGTGGACTTTTGATGATCTAGCAATCTATCATAGAAATATTGAACCAAATGTGGTTGAGAAATTTGATGATGTGGGCATTTGGCAAGGAGGGCTATGAATCTTTTCCAATATTCATACTAGCTTTCTCTAATCACTTATTGAATACTGTAGATCTATTTCCTCATTCTAGCTGTCCTTGAAGCTAGAAAATACTTTTCCAAGGATTTCTTCTTTAATTGCTCCCATAAAAGTGTTGCAAAATATTGAGGCAACATGTTCAGCCTTTCCTTTCATAGAAAACAAGAAGGCTCTACTCAGTACATTATCTAGGTGGGCTCCAGGAGGCTTCATGGAAGAGCATATCATATAAAGGTTTTGGAGATGCCTATGTGGATCCTCTCCTGCATTGTCATAAAATTTAGGTAAGGCACTTATCAAAGCTCCTTTTGATTCAAAATCAGCATTAAAATTGTAGAAGCCATAAGGATTATAATTAACATTAGAAGAATTCATTTCTCTTATGCTTCTATGCCAAACATTAACTTTGTTATTTTTAGCTTGTTGCTCTTGTACATTGTTATTTAGATTAGGCCTTTCCTCCTCTCTATATACTTTATTAACCCTAAGTGGTTCATTATCCTTAGCATATTATTTCGTTCCATGACAAAATGATGATCTATGTAATTACTAAGTGAAGAATCATATTTAGAAAACTCAAAGGAATCACAAGATTATTCAGAATGCAGTGAAAATAGAGGTGTGAAAGGTGTAGGCTGTTTAAGATGCAAACCACTAGTACCCTTAAGAAATCTTTCCTTCTTAAGTGCTCTTAAAGTCTTGTTTATTTCGGTGTCAAGTGGCAAAAGTGTTTCTTTTCTAGATCAGGTCATACAACACTTAGACCACTTAAAGCAATTAAGCACCAAACAACAATTCAATCTTCAAGAACCAAGAAATTGAATGAACTAATCAAAGAATCAATGAATACAAGTCAAAAGCAGTTCAAGATACTCCAGAAAATGTTAAAAGTTTAAAGAATGCTATGAAGGATAAGTCAAAGCAGTCCCTGACAATTTTTGAAGAATGGGACTTTGTCACGGCTAAAGGTAGAGTTGGCCATGGTGTATAACTTGGTTGAGTTGAACTTCTCCTCTTTTCAGGATTTAGTCGCAGTGAATGGAGGGCTTTACCGTAGCAAAACAAGTTGACAAAATCGAGTTTCTAATACAGAACAAAACAGATTTCAATAAGTTCCTATCACAACCACTTCCCAATTCACCAAGATAACTTCCAATAGCAATTTTTTAGCAAATACATGAGAACACTAAACAAATCAAAGAACAACAATAACACTAAAATATTTATTGGATTTTATAGAAATTTTTTTTGAAAACTAGAAAACACAAGGAAAATGCAACAATTACAGCTAATCAAAATGATATTTGGACACCCGATTACCAAAGAGCTAGGCTCCCCAGTAACGGTGCCAAATTTGATGTAGCCTTGTTATTAGACTATCAAATAAAACTAAGCTAAATATAGTAAAGTAGCACTAACCTAGATGTCGATCACCTGAGGAACCTATGAATGTCTTACTAATGTATCACAAATATCAAATTAACCCAGTATGATGTATGAAGTGTTTATGTAACTAGTGACTAAACCAAAACTAAAGCAAGACTATCTAAACTCTTTGTAATTTTCTGTATTTAATGGATAAAGTGAATACAACGTATGAATTATCCTTGATGTTCAAGTCCCCCAATCATCCTAGTTCCTCTCTTGATTGAGTTTCAATTCCCTTATTAGACTCAATTTGTGAAGACCTTCTACAAAGAATGAATTCAATATGCTAGAACCTTAACTCACTAAACTCATCTAAATGCCTAATATGGATTATATTCTACAAAAGGTATTTTACTCTCTTAATTAACAATGTTAGCAACCTAACTGGTTAATAGAGAGATTCAAACACTTGAGAAGAAAGAATCAATATAACAGAAGGAAATATCAATTCAATTAATCAATTAAAGTGCATAATACAATTCAAATCTCAGTCTCAATATAAAACAACCGAATTACCCCTCTTTACAATGACAAATCACATATCTAAACCACAGAAACTACAATCTATGAATGTAAAGAGTGAAACTAAGATTAAGGTAGAAGAAACTCCTAATTGTAGCTTCAGGAACTCAGATTGGCTTCATTGAACATCAAGGAATCAAGATCTAGCCTCTCATGACTGCAATCACAGCTTCACTAAGCTCTACAACTTCTATGGTCATAGCAGCAAATGACAGGGAAGTGAAGAGGGACAAAATGGGAGTTCTGGCTGGAGAAAACAAAGCCAAAACTTGAAAAATCACGGAATGACGAAACTGGCACATGTTCTAGAATCAAATCTGGAAACTTCACATATTCGTCGTGACGAATGAATCTGTTGGTCGCGTCAACTCAAAACGACACCGTACGAATAAGTGACAATGTTTCCTTCATGGCAAAGATTAGTGGCGGCGAAGCCATGTTTGGTCTCGGCGAAGTGAGGCAGAACCTTCTTCCAACATTCCTTCGATCCCCTAATCACCTATAATATTCAAATTAAGCTCATAGTCATCTATTCTAGGGTATGTGAGATACATAAGAGCCAATGAATGAAATAAACTCAAGAATTAACATACAAAAGCACACAGTTGATTCTGATATCCTTGATGCATAATAACCTCTATCTTAACCCAAATTACACAATTAGAGGCCACAAAAGTGTAAGTTTAGACTAGGAAATATATATAAAATATGAGACTTATCAGTGACTAACAGTGTAAAACGAACAGCTTCACTTTGTTGGTCTTCTTTTGAAATTTCTGTATTTTGATGGTCCTTAATTGTAATTTCTTGAGCTGAGGTCCTTGAGAAATATTTTCAACTTGACTTTTGACCTGAAAATCAGATTAAGCACTTGTAATATCCAATTCAATTTCATAAATGATGATTAATTAAAATGATGTGAAAATGATAGTTTTACCGCTTTAAAGTCCATAATAAGAAATCAAACTCACAATTCCAAACTACCATAATTCATATCAAGACATGCATTTAAAACCAGTTAATCCCTCTAAAAACATGCAAATAGACATAAATTAATGCAGTAAAACTTGGTCAAATCAAAGATAGAGACTCCAGTGAGGTCTCGAGACCCAAAAATGAGAAATATAGATGGATATATGCCAAAGGTCATGCTAAAGGCCTCAATGAAGAGAATTATGAGGTTAAACCAAAGTAAGTGATAAACCTTGTCGCTAGGTAATCAAAATTTTACTAGGAAAATGCAGCAAGTGAGGCAATACCTAGGTCATTCTTCTCAAGGAGCCTTAAGTTGTAATTCAATTCTTAACAATTCACTTTAATTATCAAATTACCAAGGTGAAAGCTTGAGTTTTAGAAAAGAGAAATTGAAACAAGAAACAAATCCAATGAAAGGTAAAATGCAAAAGAGATTCAGATAAGAGATAGTAGTTCCCCTAGCAATTTATCTAACCTTCCTTGTTCAATCATATAATGTGGAGTCTCTCAAAGTCAATTAAATGGATAGATTAAGCTACTACTCAAATCTCTCTAAACACAGATAAAAAACAACTATCTTACTAGATTTATTGTCTTGCTCTGTAGAGAAGGAAAATCAATTGACAAGAACACTTGAGAGGCAAGTTGCAATTCTCTAAGGATGATCACAACTGTGAATCATCAATTCATTCAATCAAAATTCAGAATTATAGAACAACAGTCCAAGTAAAAACGAATTAGATCTACAAATCAATAGAGAATCCTCTATTCAACTGAATCAAGGACACAAGTCACATCTGAATGTTCAATCAGATCTAAATTCCAAGAAACATAAATCTATCACTCAACCTTCATTCTAATCACAAATGTTCAACTGAAACAAATGAATCTTAGAATAGAAAGTAGAAACTAGATCTGAAACGACTCCCTGTTTAGCCCTATGAACTCAGGTCAGCTTCATTGCTAGGAGAACTTGGAAATTCAGCTACTCATACTCTAAATTGGAGCAGAAACAACAAGAATCAATGAAAGATTCATAGATGATCGGTGGAAAATGATGGATCTGGATGAAAATGGAAGAGAGAATTGAGAGAAGGCGGAGAGAACAAGAAAATCAGCGACTGGAGAGAATGAAGAACTGAATCTGGGTCCCCCCCGTTTTAGCACGCGACTCTGTATTTAAATATGAAGTTTTCCGTCATCCGCCACAGTGCCTCTGTACATCCGCCGCGGTGCCTAGCCTGTATGGTGTCATTTCAATTAGTGATCCTGAGCTCCATGTAAACTTTGATCCGCTGTGGCGCCTCTGATCATTCGCCGCGGTGCCTGTGACCAAGAGTGCCTTAGAAATTCGCCGCGGCTCTTTCCCATATCTGCCGTGGCGCCTCAGACAGAATGGCGAAAAATGCTAGTGAAACTCCCTGAAATTCACACCAAAGCAAGGATCAAAAGTACACACATATAAAATCATATAAAATCATGCAAAAACACCTACAAAACCTCACAATTGCTTTCACCAACTCTTATGCACAATGAAAGCTGATTATACCCAAAGTATGCAAATATAAATGGCAAAAGCATGAGTTTAGGGCTAGAAATATATGCAAATAATGAGACTTATCAACTCCCCCACACTTAGCTTTTGCACTCCTGGGCAAATCAGGTCTAAACATAATGTTAAAGAGAAGGATGAGAGATAAGGAATAAGCAAGCTCAAAAGTTCAGGTTACAACTGCAACCAACAATGATTCTTCAACCAACATCCATCCATGGAACATTCTAATGCAAAGGAATCAAGTAATGATATGCAATTTAATCTAAGTGAATAAGATATAGAAGACCACATAAAGGAATTAGTATATCACTCAACTTACAAGTGTTAAAGGTTCTTTCACTCAATTCACTTATTCAAATGCTCTACCATATGCTTGTAATAGCTCTACCTTTCCACCACTCAAATACATAAGTACTCAAGAATCAAGAGGACTTTTGTGGCTTGTAATGTAAAGGTGGGGAAGAAATGCACAAGAATGCATATGAGCATAGAGATAATATGTGAATCAACATGTAGAATTCAATAGCATTAGTAATGTTCAATTTAAGGTTTGATTTCTTGATCTTGAAT